AGGTGTTAAAATAATATCGGATATTAATATAATTTTTTTTACCGAATGTATTAAAATTAAACTCTTGTTTGAGTCGGCAATGCCTATTTATTATAAACAAAATAAAAATTGAACATAAATATATTGGTCTATATATATATAATATGATATGTGATATCCATTTTTGTCCTACACAACTGTAAATTGGAACTTAATTGGAACAAGAGCAAACCCTAACCGCAGAATAGCATACCAAATACCAATAACCTTAAAAAATAAAAAAATATTACTGAAGGGAGTTTGACCTAAGCAAAGTTGTATTGTACCCTCCAAGTTCTCATCTCTCAAATCTCATATATAGTCCTAAAAGTCCTAACTCTTACAGCTACACTAACACCAATAAATTGGAGGACCCACCCCAACTCTCTCTCCCTTGCGACTGGCTGGTGTGCTAGATATTTCTTTATCCAACTAAACGCAGCGTTTGACTTTGCCCTAAATAATTGGCTAATCTTTTTATCATCTCTCTCTCTCTCTCTCTCTACCGAGGCAGCCAGGGACCATTTCATTCCATCACAACCCCAAACATATGCCAAGGCCCCCCATCCTTTCACGCTCTTCAATAAAAACCTTCCTTTTTTTTATTTTCAACTCCTTTTAAAAATATTACATATTTGAATTTTTGTTTGTTTGAATGAAACACAAATGAATAATAATAATAATAACTAAAGAATATACGTACGTAGGTGAAGAGATGCAAGATAAACATGAGTGTAGTAAATGGCGTTTGCATTGAGGCATTGCAGAGCCAGCTTGCGTGGCTCAGAGCCATTAATATAGGAAGCAAACTTGCAGGGAAGAGCGTGTGCTGTGCTTTCAATGGGGAAAGTCCCTGTCTTTGCCTGATAAAATGAATGGGAATCTTATGATGATTAGGTCCACTCCTCAACTATGTCAAAACCAACTCATCTTATAACCCCAAACCCTACCTTTCTTTTCACTCCTCCCAAAATAAATAAATAAATAAATAAATAAAATTACAGTCACTCTCAAGCAAACCCTAGTGAATTTATGAAGCTTCCTTTGCAACTCTTTTCTTTTCTAGATCTCTATCGATTTTACCTTCTCTCTATCAACAAAGAGTACATATATGTACTCTCTCTCATTTTTAAGATGCAAATGCCTAGCTAATCTAACTTAATTAAAAGTCCTAGGAAGCTTTTATGATCAGGAATTGAACGCGATAATTATGTAACGTACACGAACACATCCATTTTATATAAATATATAAAATCTAAGTAGATTATATTTATAAATTTTTTATTTACAAACTATACTACATATACTTTGTGGAGCACACTAAATTAAGATAAGTGTATTCCATGGAGTACGTAATATATTTTGTAAACAATTTTTTTTTTTTTAAATATAAGATTCCCCGTTATACGCCCATTTCTGAAAATCATGATTATTGTGTTTTCTCTAACGTCTCGTTTTTTTCAATGTTCCATTTATGGAGAAGATTGGAAGGGAATTAAATGAAAAGGTAAACTAATTTTAAATTCATTTTAAGTAAACATTTATTTATCAAGAAATTTTAAAATGAGTCCTGTAGCCTTCTAATCATGACTTATATTCATTCTCATAAAATATTTCAAATTATTTAAATTTAAAAATGAAAAATAAGTATCTCTCATCTTTACTTAATTATTAGATTAGAGAATAATATAAATTATTAAAAAAAGTCTTCACCTAACATCTTAAGACTTTGAGTTACAATGGTTCTTTACGTATCATGGTAGAGCTAGCACTCATAAAGAAATTTTTGGGTTCACAAATACTTGAACTCAAGAACTTATTTGAGAGGAATCAAGTATGAACCACTTGATCGTTTTTTAATTCCTTAGTTAGTGCACTTAGGACACTAGTTAATAAAATCGTAACTCTATTTCCTTTTAATAAATCTTCTTAATGATTCTCATAATATTAAATCCTTTTTCATTTTCGATTCAGATAATTTTAAAATAATTACAAATTTTTAATTAATATTCCCAATACTCCTCATAATTAATAAATAAATAAAATTAAATACTTCTAATGCAAACAAATATAAATGCATTGATTTTTTATTTAAATTTTTTAATTAACTAGTAGGAGAGATTATTGGGAAAATGTTTTAGAAAGATATAGCAAACTCGTAATTTCAGATCCACTTAATAATCTTAAAGAATAAAATATTAAATGTCTTTTATACGTTTCTAGGATATTATGTGTTTTTACTTTTTATTTAATACTTATTGTTTTAAGTAATTTTAGGGATGTAGAAGCATTGAACAGGAGGATATAACATTGCTATTTTCAATTAATACTTTATGATTTAAGTAATAAAGATAATCTATTATGATTTTTTAGGAGAATGGTGTTTCCTTTTATATTCCTCTAATTGATGATAGTCAGTAAAATCTCGTAGACGGTCATAACTCCTCTCTTGACTGTTAATTTTCATTTTTCATCATTTAATTGAGAAATGTCTATTATTTTTATTTTGTGACACATGGTAACAAACCTAACACTTTTTATATATGGGTTTTATGAGTATATATTACATGACACTAGATGTGTCATGCCATATATACAAATAATCATTGGGTTCCACTGAAAAAATAAATAAATAAAATGAATCTCACACCGTTTTAAGTCAGTAGAAAAATATCTTGTGTCATGTAACATGATATTCATAAATTTTTTTTTCTTTATATATATATATATATATATATATATATATATATATATATATATATTGAAATGGATCATAAATTAGGAGATGTTTTCCCTCATTTGCGCCACAGGCGGATTTCATGTTTTCCTTGCATATTTATACAATTTGTCTTTAATATATTCAAGCTTTCTCCTCTAATAAATGCATTATGTATATGTACGTGTTTCGTGATAATGCAAGTGCTAAATACACCCTACAAATGCCTTTCCTCTTCGTTATAACTGACAATGATATTGTATCTTGACAGAGTTGTAATTTAATACCGAAGTCATTATTAATGATCAACGTTGTTTGGTTCATTTATTTCACCAAATATTTTGGTTTCAAAGCACACTATATGTACTTAAAAAACATTATTCCGTGTATACATGGAAACGAACAGATATGTAGTATACTTTTTATGATCTAATTCCTTCAGAAGAATTGGCTACAACCAATTATTAATTATACGGCAACAGTATATTGAAATTAAAAAGCAAGATGAGTCTAAACAAAGAAGAGAGAGAGAGAGATAGCAAGAGAAAACCCGTTTTCTTGTCCAAAAGGCCAAAACCACCGGCATCAATATATGTGATGTCATGATACTTTCGACGTATCATGGGAATCGAAAATCAAACGTATTATCAGGGTATTATTCAACGGCATTAACATGGATGATGTAAGGCAAATAACACACATTACTTTAGCAAATTATTAATTAAGTCATAGACCATGGTCCTAGAGAAATGAAATAAATATGAATAACCGCTGTATTGTATGAATAAATTAATTCACTTATATGTTATCCTTTGAGAATACGTGTGTAGAGAGTATTTACTCTCAAGTGTTACTTGAAAGGATATTTGACACCATCGTCCTTGATATTTCATGTATTTTAATCGGTGATTTCCCAACACGAAAGAAAGATGGGAGGGATGCTACTATAAAGGGTCATTTATCCCACAACAAACGAGGAATGATAACTTGTAAGACAAATAACATGATGGGCAACATGTTATGTAATTAACAGTTTTACCATATAAATTGTATAAGACACTTCACATAAATCCCTGCCGGGGACACATTTCTTGATACCATGAAAAATGTGATAATTTCGGTAATAATTAAAGAAGAAGAAAGGCAGGCAGAAAATATAATTAAAGTGTTGGAGGTTATAGTTATAGGTTTGAGAGAGAAGAGTTTAGAAGTAGGTTGATACATGAAGTATTATACTAAGAGACATCAAATTTGAAATGTTCAATAGTGTTATTTTCAGTTTAAGAAACCTTAAAGATAATACGAGCTACTGAACTTCACTCTATATGGATCCAAATAATCATGTTCTCACTCATTAGTCTTGTATGTGAACATATTATTAAATTATATTATTAATATATCCAACATAAAGTCCCCCCAAAAAAATGAAAAATAAATAAATAATAATAATAATAGTAATAATAATAAATATTTTCATAAAATAATATACAGAAAAATATTTCTGCAGTTAATGCAGATAAGTCATCTGCATTTTCTTCCAAAACGTGTCGTTTTGGAATTGAAAGATTAAAAAATTATAATTATAAAGACTATAATAACCCTAAAATAAATTAAAATTATAAAAACACCATGACTTCCGCACCAAAACGACGTCGTATTAGGCTTACTGCAGATAACTTATCTACATTAACCGTAAAAAAAGCGAACCCAGTAATATAACATTCTAATTTTATACCATCATGGTAGCAATATTTTCAGTGTTGTAATAATAGGCTAACAATTAACCAAAATTTCCTGGGATATGCAGCATCCAGAATATGCGTTTTCAAAGTTAATACTAGCAGCCGAGCATAAAAAATGTTTATACTATTCGAAAAACAAAAAGCTTCACATCTCCCATCCATAAACAATAAATGTTTACAATAATACACATGTATGATATACTTATTTCTTAAAAGAAAAAATAAAAATTAAGTTCCAGAGATACGAATGTAGACTAGTTACAGTATATATCATAGGACAGTATGTGAATTAGTAAATTCAGTATGATATATGGAAAGCAATAGAGATGAGTAAAACTAATGAGTTTGGTAGCCGTCATTCGTTGCTCACCATCAACTCTCACAAGGGCAAAAAAAAATTACACTAAAAAAAAAAGTCTCTCTCTCTCTCTCTCTCTCTCTCTATATAGCAATTACACCTCTTAGCCCGCCATTAAATGCAATTGCACCATCTCAATACCCTCAGCAATAACTCATCACTGCCACATTTTTCTCCATCCGTTTCCCTCTTTTTTCTTTCCTTTCAGTTTCTTTGTCTTCTCTTATTCTCCATCATCTTCTTTCTCTCGTTCCAGTATTCCTCCATGTAAACAAGCTTTTTTGGGCTAGACCATCACAACACACATCAAGCTTTCGCTGGTTACCATAAAAGCAGCTTTCCATAACTGCCTCAAAAGCCTTCTTTTCTCATATGCACATTTCAAAAGGGTCCCTTTTTTTTTTATTTGAGGGTACCAAGGCTTATAGCCCCCCAAAAAAGTAGATCTAAATATTTTATCTTGTTCTAGCAGCTAGTATCTCCAGCAACTACCACCCACTGGTAAGTGGAAAATTCATTGCACAAGGTTCATTTCATTTCTCGTTCACACAGCTGTCAGATCATTGATTTCTTCTCAAAACGAAATCGGTGATACTGTTTTCACAATTTTTTCTTCTTCAAATTCTCTCTAGGGTTGCTAGAATATGCAAGGAACGGTAGGTTTACCATATATTTACACACACATATATATATATACACAACCAAGATCTTCATTTTATTAATTTTTCTTGGGTTGATTTGTAGTATCAGAAAAATCTTGAATAGTTTCTTTCTCTTCATTATTTAATTATGTCATATATAAAGCGCATTTGTTTCAGGGAATTGTAAGGACAAATGAAAAATATGAGACCCCTACCCCACTTTTTCTTTTTCTCACTCTCTTTTTTTTTTCCTCTGAAGTCACGTTTTTGAGTATGAGTTTTTGAAATTGCTTATGTTTTCTTTTTTGTAGAGACACGTTAGCCTTGTTTGCGACACCTCCAGAGCTCACAGAATCTAATTAAGAAAGACCTCAACATCTGAAGCTCTTCATCATATTTAAGGATCTCAGAAAAAGCAAAAAAAGAAAAACAAAAATTGAATTGTTTTATATAGCGGCGGTTGTTGTTTTTTTGTTTGTGAAGTATGCTAGCCGGTGTACATGTAATGATTCCGGCGAGAAACATGCCATCGATGATTGGAAGCGTTGGTGGGTTTGGATTATCTTCAGGGCTCTCTCTTGGCCAGGTCAGTGCTTCACTTGAGGTACCTCTTCAATTTCTTCTTATTTTTCTCATCACCTTAATTATGGTCCTGATTCCGATGCTAATTTGATTAATGTGTGTCGTTTACTCTCTTTGACTTTATCCTTCCAAAACAAAAAACAAAAAAAAAAAGTCTTTTTTTTTCTTAAAGTCAAATTTGGTCTCAGTGTGAATCAAACTCTCTCTTATATTTTACCGGTGGAAATGGAAATATCATTCTCGATGTTCTAAAACCGCGTCATTCCTTTCCTTCTTCTTACTCTTCTCGAAAACATCAATCTAGTTAAATCCGAGTGTTTAATTAAAAATTTTGCTCATCAAGTACTTCTCCTTTGTTTATCTACACATATATGTTAATTAGAAAAGTAATAATAAAAAAGTTGTTCATGTTTAATTTTTCATGGTTTAATTTTTTTTAATTTTTTTTAAGTGAAGTATATACTATACAATAAATACTATATATGTGATATTGTTTTTGTTAGATTGAAAACCTTGGGAATCTTAAAGATCTGTAGATATGTTCCAGCCAAACCTAATGGAAGCTGGTCAGCTCCACCCATTGGACATGCCTCAGAACACTTCAGAGAGCGATGTCCCTAGAATCCGCGACGATGACTTTGACAGTGCCACCAAGTCCGGTAGTGAAAACCATGAAGGTGCCTCCGGCGAAGACCAAGATCCTCGCCCCAAGAAGAAGCGCTACCACCGTCACACACAGCACCAGATCCAGGAAATGGAAGCGTAATAAGCTTACCCAAACTAGACCCATCTTTTTTTAATATATATATTGCAATTTAAAATTTAATTTTTTTTAAAAAAAAAAAAATGATTTTGTTCATTCAGTTTCTTTAAGGAGTGTCCTCACCCTGATGACAAGCAAAGGAAGGAACTGAGCAGAGAGTTAGGGTTAGAACCATTACAGGTCAAGTTTTGGTTCCAGAACAAGCGTACTCAGATGAAGGTTCGTGTTTTGGTTGATACAAAGAAAAAAAAAAAAAGGGGACCCCTTTACGTGTGGCTTTTTATGAGTTGGCTAATGAAGAGTATGGTGTTTTTTTGTTTTGTTTTTGTTACAGACACAACATGAGCGACATGAGAATACACAACTTAGAACCGAAAATGAGAAGCTTCGAGCTGATAACATGAGGTATAGGGAAGCTCTTAGCAACGCTTCATGTCCTAACTGTGGTGGACCAACCGCTATAGGAGAAATGTCATTTGATGAACATCACCTTAGGCTCGAAAATGCTCGACTAAGAGAAGAGGTATGAGAATATATAATTGGAGAAATTTCTCCAACTTTATTTCTTGATATTTTTTTGTCTCCCTAATTGATTCATCCTTCGAACTAGTTCAGCTCGAGCATTGTTGGATCCTATATAGGAGCTGGCTCTCTCAAAATTATTTTTTTCATTTCCAGAGTTCGAACTCGAGACCTTTGGTTAAGGGATACAAGCTCCTTATCACTTGTGCCAATGGTGTTTGGTTGTTGATGATTTTTTTAACCTTTGTCTTTGGTGTTAATTATCTTCAGATTGATAGGATTTCTGCTATTGCTGCTAAGTATGTGGGGAAGCCAGTGGTGAGTTATCCACTTCTTTCCCCTTCATCTGTTCCTCCACGTCCTTTAGAACTTGGGATTGGAAGTTTTGGTGGTCAACAAGGCATTGGTGAGGATATGTTTGGAGCTGGAGATCTTCTTAGGTCAATAACTGGACCCTCTGAAGCTGATAAACCAATAATAATAGAGCTAGCTGTTGCTGCTATGGAAGAGCTCATAGGAATGGCACAAATGGGTGAGCCTCTTTGGTTGACTACACTGGATGGAACCACCACAGTTCTCAACGAGGATGAATATATTAGGTCCTTTCCTCGAGGAATTGGTCCAAAACCTGCTGGCTTTAAGTGTGAAGCTTCACGAGAAATCGCTGTTGTTATCATGAACCATGTTAACCTTGTTGAGATTCTCATGGATGTGGTACATATATATAGGCTTTCTAATCTCACATTATTAGTTAAAACTTTTGCAATATTTTAATTTTCTAGTCTTTGACATTGTATAACTCTATTGGTGGTTTTAAGAACCAATGGTCCACAGTTTTCTCTGGTATCGTCTCAAGAGCAATGACATTAGAAGTGCTATCAACAGGAGTGGCGGGGAACTACAACGGTGCCTTGCAAGTGGTATATATTAATTCATAGAACATCCATTTTCTCATGTGAAAACAAAAGTAATGATGGGTTTGAAAAATAAATTTTCTGAATAATATACTTTTGAAAGATACCATTAAACTAAGGAGCATGTTATATTTACAAATTTTTTTGTTTACAAATTCTTACAAACTACACTATATTTTTTCGGGAGAACACTAGTTTTACTATGTTCTCCCGAGAGAACATAGTGTAATTTGTAAAAAAAATTCAAAAAAGTTTGTAAACGGATCCTTCCCCTTAAACTAAATATAGTTAGTTTCACACTTAATAAACATGGGACTACGATTGACGTGGGGGACTAATATCATCTGATTAATGTGTGGGACTAACTACATTAGTTTGATTATATATATTAAAAATAAATTATTCTAATAATTATTTTCCAAAATTGGAAATAAATACACAATTCAATTATATATTTGACTCTGCAGATGACGGCTGAATTACAAGTACCTTCACCTCTTGTGCCAACTCGTGAGAGTTATTTCGTAAGGTATTGTAAGCAGCACGCAGACGGAACTTGGGCAGTGGTTGATGTGTCTTTGGATAATTTGCGCCCTAGTCCTTCGGCAAGATGTAGAAGAAGGCCTTCTGGTTGCTTAATTCAAGAAATGCCTAATGGCTACTCAAAGGTTAGAATGTATATATCATATATATTCTCGAAAGATTAATAAGCCTTGTGGTTGCATTTGGTATTTATTTTTATACTCAATGTGTGGCTAATCTTAATTATGTTGTAGGTCATTTGGGTTGAGCATGTAGAAGTGGATGATAGAGGGGTTCATAATCTATACAAGCAGCTTGTTAGCTCTGGACAAGCATTTGGTGCAAAACGTTGGATTGCAACCTTAGATAGACAATGTGAAAGGCTTGCTAGTGCAATGGCAACAAACATTCCCACCTTAGATGTTGGAGGTATAATAAATGAATACTCTCAATTTTTTTTATTTTTTTTAAAGATGGTCATTTTCTTAATTAAGTAGTAATTAACCCTTTATAATATTTGAATAATATATAGTGATAACAAACCAAGATGGGAGGAAGAGTATGTTGAAACTGGCTGAGAGAATGGTTATAAGCTTTTGTGCTGGAGTGAGTGCTTCTACTGCTCACACATGGACAACACTATCTGGGACTGGTGCTGATGATGTAAGGGTCATGACTCGTAAGAGTATAGATGACCCTGGAAGGCCTCCTGGTATTGTTCTCAGTGCTGCAACTTCTTTTTGGCTTCCAGTGCCACCCAAAAGAGTTTTTGAATTTCTCCGTGATGAGAACTCCAGAAGTGAGGTAAATTAAGAATTCAAAAAGGCAACAATTATGCACCCAATTATTATCTTCTTACCTAAAGTATTGGGCTGCATTATTGTGTACTCATAGGTATTAGGCATCCTTGATTTAGTAACATTGCTTAGATGGCTGCATTATGTATCTATATATTCATATGAAGTACCCATAATATTTAGTTGTCATAGGTCTAATATCTACACTCAATTATCACATAATTTGAATTCTATACATCTTTTTCAAATTGCCAAAGATAGTATGATACAGACTCCGGTTTTTAATGAAGGTCCGAGACCTTTAGATAAAACTTTGTTCCTTTTTTTATTTTAATGTCATTTGACTTTTTACAAATTAATTTCGCAGGATATAATCTCTCTGGAAATTTTTAATTTCATAATTTTGGATATTTACGTCAATGTTGTTTTACTGAAAGCGTTCCTTAGTTTTTTAAATAAACAAAAATTTAAGAACGAAGTTAGCAAATAGAAGAGTTAACTTTTAACTGTAAAATATTTAAGACACTAAAAAATGATATAAAATGTACAAAAGGCCAATTAAATTCTTGAATAGTTAATTTGTCGATTAATATTACTCTCTGTCTCGTTTGGAAAGAGAATCTGAGTTCGATTCCCACTAAATACATATTTGAAGAGGGATAAAGAACTTTAACTAGCCCCAACTCGAGATTAGTCTCATAGCTTGTGGGTACACTGGGGTGCTGACTCGCCTCAAAGAGGTAACTAGGATCGGTGTACCAAAAAAAAATATTACTCCCCCTAGTCCCTTCATCTTTATTTTGATTAAATTCTCTATTTTATGATTGGTCTAACTATTTTAGCTCCTTGAAAACAGTGGGATATTCTTTCCAACGGTGGAGTTATCCAAGAAATGGCACATATTGCTAATGGAAGAGATACCGGAAATTGTGTCTCTCTACTTCGGGTGAATGTATGTTGATCTTATCGTCCTATTCACTGTTTATCAATTTTATCAAAACACTATCTTCCATTTCCAGTCAAACTAAGTGAAAGTTAGACTGAAATATATTACAATATTCTTACAGAGTGCAAATTCAAGCCAGAGCAACATGTTGATATTACAAGAGAGTTGCACCGACTCAACGGGCTCTTTTGTTATATATGCTCCTGTTGATATTGTTGCAATGAATGTAGTTCTAAATGGAGGAGACCCAGATTATGTAGCTCTTCTTCCTTCAGGATTTGCTATACTCCCAGATGGGACCACAACACATGGTGGTGGCCTTGGTGAAACTGGTCATCATGGTGGATCTCTCTTGACTGTTGCATTTCAAATATTGGTTGATTCAGTTCCAACTGCAAAGTTGTCTCTTGGATCTGTTGCTACTGTTAATAATCTTATTGCATGCACTGTTGAGAGAATTAAGGCTTCTTTATCAGGTGAAACTACTTGAGTTTCAAGACCAATGGAACATGTGGTAAGAACACGAGAGTATCCAGCTAAAACTCCTAATTAAACACTATATCTTAGCTTAATTTGACATTTGTTTCATGTTTTACTTTGCACCTTAATAATTTGAGATTTTCTCTTGCTTCATTAATTAGTTATACTGTTTAGTTGATCATTCTTTAAAATTATAGTCTGTTTTGATGCTAGACATGCAGTTGTGGGAGTGAGATATATTATTGTCATGTAATGAATTTTTATAATTATTATGTACTAAGTACTCTATAAGGTTATGTTTTCTAATTTATTTAAGTCCCAGGGCGTCTATCAAATAATGTAGATTAGCAAATTTTTTTGCCTTTTCTTATTAAGAGGTCGAACCAAGAAAAGTGGTAAATTCATTTCTTTGTGACTGAAAAGTAACGGATTCGAATCCGTTACTAATATATATATATTAATTAGCTGAGAAATGTATTTTTTATGTTGTTGCAAAAAAATTTTTTTGCAGCATTACATAGTTATAATCAGAAAATATTTTTTTTTCTCTTTCTCTTTGTCAGCAGACAACTTCCGAAGAGAAAAAAAAAAAATAAGTTTAAAATTTTAATTATGTATTCCCAAAAATACATAGTTATAATCGGTTGTTGTAAAAAAAAAAAATTCGGGCCCATATTAGTTTTGCTTATGAAATTAATTCTTTGTTGTTCAGACCTGATTCTTATTCTGACTCTTCATTTTTATGGTCTCTTTATATGGTTAACTCTGATGCAGTTTAGAAGAAGGACAAAGGGGGTGGGTGCAATATTGCATTTTGGAGAATCAGAAGGTGTTGGAAACTTCGGCTGATATAAAAAGGAAGGGGAGAAGTCAAGAGCGCACCTTGCATGATCCCTTCTCAGCATCTCAACAAAGTGCTGGGAGGATTAAGGTTCGGGAATTGACTTCCCTGGATATAGTAAAATGCTATATGAGCTTAAATTAAGAACTTGCTTCTCTACACCTTCTAAAAGACTATATATTTATGGTTAATTAGTGTTACCTTTTTCGTTGATTAGCCTGTAGCTTTACCGTAACCTCTTATGTTCCTTCTTCCATTTGTGATTTGCGTCTTAGATCATGCACTAGTACTAGCTAGTAAATGGGAAGCTTGCATCACCACTAGCACAATGTGGTTAATTTCTTACGACACCGGTTTTATCCTTTTTAAGGTCTTGAAATGGATGTTGCGTCCATTTTGCCAAGTCTCATTCGGTGACATAGATGTCGCCATGATTTATTATTTTGTATTGGTCATTTGTGACCAAAATGTTGAAGAGCCACCCTAGCTAGGTGGTAATGTGTCACTTGAAAAAGAAAATGTTTGGGAGCATCATTTAGTAACAGAGGTAAAAGGGTTAAGTTCCCTTAATTATATTATGGGCAGATTATTAACTTATGAAAGACGTGTACGGCGTCACATATGGTTTTGCTATTAATGTATAATGTGCCCTCTTTTTGACCAAGGACTTACCTACAAAGGGAATCAGTAAAATTTAGAGTTATGTTATTTTGATGCATATGCTTTCATTTCATACCTATTTTTATTTAAAAAAATAGGTGAGAGAAAGAAGAGAAGGTTTTCTCTCTTCCTTTTTACTATAAAAGGTTTATATAAAAGGAAGTGTAAGAATATTTTGTACAATTTATTTATAGCAAAAATTTTCAAATCAATTGCAAATGTATGGAACTTAGTGGTGATAAAACAATTCGAGTAACACGAACAAAATATAAATTTGAAATAAATCACCTTGAACACCTCATTTATTTTGGAGGTTGACACGAACACTACAATTTGTCAACTTTAAAGTGTGTTGCTTATTACGTATATTGACATGACATGGCCAACACAATATAACTCGTCATCCTCAAAGTGTATTATTTATTATGCGAGTTGATACGACACAAAAAGACATGAATAACTTTATACTGAATGTTATTTTCATCAATGTCGTATTGAAATGATACAACGTGAATAATATGTAAGAAAATTAACCAGAGTCAATTTTATATTTATGGGTTGACACATAATATGATATGAATTTTTTCGTATCAATTTTTTGCAGCATGAATTTGAAAACGAATCGACCCAAACATGAATTTTTCATGTTGTTTACATTTCTTGTTAGCAGGTCGTGTAAAAAATCATAGTCCCTAATCAAATTGGAGTGTTTGTCAATAATAGAAGAGTTTTCTAGTCCTAGTATCAAAACATATGATGAGATTAGTTTTCTATGCAACCTACTTCTTGGGGTGTTAAATATTGTTTATACAAACTTATTTAGAGTGGTTACAGTAATTACTACTAAAAAGTCGAAACAACTTTAATTTGTTACGTGATTCTTATAAGTCGCTCTATTATAACCGTTTCTACCTTTAAAGGATTATTTTATGATAATTTGTTACCAGATAAATAAAACATTTATCAATAAAGAATATACATAAATATTAATTTTTACAAATATAATCTCTCAAATAGAATTCTTGTAATAATCAAATTCTTTTTTACTAAAGAATTGTATATTGCTTAATTACTTACAACTTTTGTTGAAAAATTATAAATATTTTAGATTTTGATGTAAATTATTGTATTTAAAAATAACCATAATTTTAATGTTGACTGTTAATAACATTCTATAACTTTTATTTTGAAAATGACAATTGTAAAAATTAATATGGAAAAACAGTTTAAGTTACACAGTTTTCATAAAACTCGTGATTGTTTTTTAAAATAACAAATTTTGGAACTTGTACATTTATTGACAAATGTTGTATTTATACACGATTTTTTTATAAATATATTGATCAGACCAAATATAATATAGGCTGGCCAATGTATATCGGGCCTAATCACACACGATTGAAATGATGAGGATGCTCTGCTTCTTGGGCTTGAGGTTGCTGATAATTGGATATGGACTCTGGTCCTTTGTTAGCGCGATCCTTGAGCTTGGATGGGGTGTTACCTGCAATGACACTCCGATGCTTAAGTCAGTATCAGTTGCAGATGTATGTGTATTCTTAATGAATTAGATTATCATACTTGGGCATGTACCCTCTGTTTATATAGTGGTTATGATGCCGCCTTCAGAAGGCGGTATGACCTCTGATTGGCCGTTTCTGAGCTGCAGGTTTGGCTAGAGCCTTAATAGCTTTATCCGTTAATGCCATGCTACCTTGATAGAGTAGCGGCGAGCTGGTGTTGTCCTTTGTTTATTAGTACAAAGGCGTGTTGGGTTCGTTTTAGTTCTTAAAATAGCTTCCTTACCTCTGAAGTTTATGCCAAAGGGCAGTTTCATGCGCGATGGAGGCATCACGCTTAGTTTTGGGCCCTCGTGAGATTGGCCTTTGTTGTATGTATTTGGGCCTTTAATGGGCCTACTATATTTTATCCAGATCAGTTGTCCCCTAGCTTGCAGTTTTGACATGTGGCAAAGCTGTGAGGTATATATTTGTGTTTGGGCGCTATAGATTTTTTGGGCGCGATCATTTGATGCCGCAAAGATCATGTTGAAGAGTCATCATGATTTAGCCTCTAAAAAACGATTGATTAGATGTTAACTGTCACTTGTCAGAAGCATTTAATGTTACCACAATTACGTGGGGGTTTAATGTAAGAACCTGCACCGTTAATTAAGGAAGTTAATTAATTAATTAAGAGAAATTAGGAAATAATTCCATAATTGACCCTAATAATTATTATGAGGCTTTAATAATTATAGTAAGTGAGTAATAATACTGAAAGTCGCTTTTCGGACGAAAAGTGCAGATACTGGTTCTGCTACTCGGTATAAATGCGTACCGGTGAAGTATCCCGGAAAATTATGAAAAGTGTGTATATGTCACTAGAATAATATATAGGACTTGTAAAACAAGTTTCAAGTTAAAATAATGAGAACTGGTACCAGAACTGATACAGGCTATGGAAAAGCGCGTACCGGAAAGGTGCTGCGAAAAATAAAATAAAAATATGATAAATCTTAGAAAAATGAGTAAGTTCAGAATCCTAAGTTTGGGATTAAAATTCTAAGTGTAGCTATTAGTGCTAATACAGTGTGATTAAAATTGATACCCCTATAAATTTGAGGGCACATGTCCCTAGGTCAGATTTTATTGCATGTTGCGCCTTCTTTCTTAAGCTGGTTGCCTCCCAAGCTTGTCACCTTCTCTTTTCCTCCATTTTTGTGAGCAAAGAGACATTTTCTTCCTTTAAACCTTCACCTTTGCACTTTGAATTAGTGTGAAGTGGTCTTGTGAGTGGGTGAGACTTCCCTTTTTCTGAGTTTCAGCTTCTGAGTGTGAGGTGTAGGGGGCTGACTTGGTGGTTTGAGTGTTGGGAAGCCTTTGTTCCTTGTTTGTTGAGCTTCAAGGAGCCACCTTTGGTGAAAAAGAACCTTGCTTGCTTGTCATTTTCGTGTGCCTTGGGAGACAGAACCTTGCAGCTGTGTGGTGAGCTCCAAGAGCAACCTTTTCAAAGTTTTGAACCTTGGGTAAGTCTCCCCAACCTTGATAATGAGTTTTCTCGGTGTAAAGGTGAATTCTTGGCATGTTAATGAGTTAAACAAGTAGGTAATCTGTGTATGAACTTAAAACAGAATAAAAATGCATGCTTTAACGTTGGAATGGGTTAAAAACCCAACCTTTGGAGAGATATCTCGCGAAATGCAGAAACTGCATTCTGTCGTGAAATATCCGGATATGGATATCCGGATATGATATCCGGATATGGATATCCGGATATGGGGTCTTGTGATATCCGAATATGGATATCCGGATATGGCCCCGACATATATCCGGATATTCTGGGTTTTCGAAGAACAGTAGCTGCACTGTTCATACAAAATGATGTTTGGGGTTTGTGGACCCTAGATTGGCTAAGTTGAACCTCTGTAATAATTCAACTAAGTCAGAATCTAAGTGATTAAGGGCTTGTGGCTTTGTGAGAAACCTAAAGATATGAAATGTAAAGGAAATGCGTTGTCTTTATGTCATGTGCATGTAGAGTATGAATATTGATGTGATTATTGTTCCAAACAGATTGTGATCTTGTTGTTTGTGGACTTTGAGCTTGTGTGGACTCTTGTTTTGGATAGCTAGCTTGTAAGGTAAGCTTTCGTGTCCTCGGATTGATCTGTTGTTTGTTCCACCAACCTCCATGGGAGGGTGGTTTATATGCATGGTATGCTTATATGAAAATGTTATATGCATTGATATATGCCTGAGATATGTGAATATGTCTATTGATTACAGACACAATCAGACTGCGACTCTGGTGTGTAAGGCATGTAGTGTATGGAAGTGATGTTGTTTACTTACACAATCAAACAGCGACTCTGGTGTGTAAGGCATAAGACTGCGACTCTTATGTTTAGATGGGTCGTAGACGTGCATAATCCCTATCCTGTTCCCTGGCCAGTCGAACCGCATCTACATACATCACATGATTAATGAGTTGTAGTATTTAGCTCATTGAGCAAGAGATTATACTGTCATGATATAAATGCCTTAACATGAACATGCATTAAATTACTGCTTTGGAACTTATATTATACTTGTAAGTGAGCTTGGGGCGGAAGAGTCCTTGAGGACCCCTTGTCTTACTGAGATTTCTTTTTAGAGATCTCACCTCACGTTTGGGGCACACATTTCAGGTTCAGATAATGCTGGGGTTGAGACCTCTAGCGGCAAGAGGCCGGAGCTTAGCTGAGAAATATGCTATGTATGATGATATGCTTTGGATGCTGACATGCTTTATATTATTGTTATGTTATTTGGTTTGAGACTCTGTTGGGCTATGTTGCCTTAGTTAGTGAGTATGGAGATTGTCCATGCCATATTGATTGAATATATCCTATTTAGTTTCGAGTTGTATTAATGTATCAGGATTATGGTCTGGACTACGTGTTGTAGTTCCGTGATTTAGATACACTCACTTATTTTATCTATAGAGGTATTTCAGTTAGCTGTCTTTTGCAAACTACATACAGGCAATGTTTTGAAAATGAATTAAGTAATTCAACTTGGTAATGATAATGACGTCATGATTGGAAAGAAAAATATATTCCGCAATTATAATTAAGTGTGGCTTAATACGATGACATGTTAACAAACTGGGTTAACACGGGGTGTTACATTTAACGGCAAGCGTGGGCTGCTTTGAAGTGTAAACGTTTTATCTTCCTCCCACGTGTCCCTGATTATCCATTTCTTTTAACACGTTTTAACCTTTCGAATTACCCTACTGTATCTTTTCATATTTGTATCAAGCTAGGGGGTTTGGTGGGAAATTATTCCAAGCACTCACTCACCGTTGCCGAAGTACTTCTGCTTCCCTTTCCTTCGTTTGTTGCTGCTCCCTTGCAGTGTTGACACGTCCC